CCTTCAAATAATCCGCCTACTTCACATCCTCCCTTGAATAATTCGGGTAGTCCAAAACGATCAGAGGTCACTGAGTTGGATGAAATATTGGCTAATCTTCCTACAGACCCTGGACTTAGACCTCCAATGACTTATTATAATCCCAATTTTCGAGAACAAATCCGAAGAGCCTATCTGCAAAGGGGTCCTTGTCAGCCTAAAAGCCAAAATGACATGCCTCAAACACTTATGGGTCCTTGTAATCGACATTTTCTTGTGAAATGGTTTGATTCATTTGTTTGGTTGGAGTATAGTAAAGAGAAAGATGCTGCATTTTGTCTTCATTGTTATCTTTTTAAATGCGACTTTGATAAACAAGGAAAGGCTGGAAGCGATGTCTTCACTGAGAAAGGGTTTAAAAATTGGAGGAAGGGACCCGAGAATTTTAGGGACCATGTTGGACAAGTTGGAAGTCTTCACAATAAAGCTACACAACATTGTACAGATTTAATGAATCAAAAGCAACACGTTGAAACCATTTACTATTCAATTTAAGCCAAATAAAGGAAAGGATTGTAGGTGATTACAAATGAATTTTATGGGTCTAAGCTCAATTTACTATTCAATTTAAACCAAAGCATTTCCTAATGACACTTGCATGCTTATTTTCTTCTGGCTAATCATAGAAATAAAGTTAATAGGGTTTAGGGTTCTTTTAGCTAACTAGAAAGCCATAACAAGTCTCGAGAGCAGAAGATGGTATATATGGAATCCTCAGATTTAAACTCCAGAGCAGATAATAACACTTGTCATGGCCATCTACTGTCCATTTCGAAACCAAACTTCCCTGTAAACAAAAAGAAAAATTTCCCCAATCTGCCATTTCTTCAACTCGCAGCAGAGTTGAAATTGTTTCACAATATTGAACAACATTTCATGCTACTCGTTATGGAAACCTTTCCTGTTTGTGACATGTTATATAATATGAGTTCAACTACAAATATGATAGTTCCAATACCAAATCCACATCAAATGATCATCGATTAGAGGCTACTACGATAACAGAAAGCGTTATAGCCTACCATCTAAGACTTTAGAAAAAGCTATGTTCAATAGACTTCCATGACATTACAAAGAACCGTCCAGCAACAAAAGGACTAACTACCATAAAGCCTGCCAGAAGCAAAAAAAACTACTCAAAAAACAATGTTCTATAGCCCCAGATTGATTGAACACCTCTTCGATGATGAATCAGCGGTTTCTCCCGAATTTTGCTTCAGTCCATGCTTTGGCAACTGTTCTTTTCATCTCTGGATCCCCTTCTTCGTACATATTCTGCAAGTTGCATTTCATGCAGTAATTAACCAAACAGATATATAGTGTACATGTACGTTTATTCAATGTGATTGCATTCACATTTTCATGTTTGTTTTCAAATGTGGATTTGCATGCATATACATGTGTACATGCTATCAACCTCAAAGCTTGATAACCTTACCTTCATTATGCCCATGACCCCTGCCAAAGGATCTGGCTCTTCATCCCAATTTGGCATCGGCATCGGCTAAAAGATCAAACAATAAAACAATTAGTTCCATTTCTGCCTTTGCCAAAGCATAAAATGGGCGGTCCAAAGAAATGATGAAGTACCCTTTCCTCCTTGAACTTCAAATCCAACCAGTAATCCCTTGAAGCTTTAACCAAACTGATGACAACCTTTTCAGGCCTAGTTATCACCCTACAGTTCGCTGGGACAATCTCCTTGTGCAGTGCAGGTATAGCAAATTTGTAATTCATTCCTTCGACATCATGGAATTTGATGAAAAAGGACGAAGGTGTGAAGCCAGTCTCTATCCTCTCCTGATCAACTCCCTTCAGATATATATATACCTGCAGGAGGAAGGAAAGAGGAACACCAAAAACCATAAAATTAGCAATTGGAAGACACATGACCATTGCTTATAAGCAGAACAATAGCATAAATCATTTTGTTGCTTTGATGTTGCCTCATTGCAGAACACGTAAATGAGACAAGTAACCTAGACGTGCTTATCCTACGTAAAAACACATGGTAAAAACATCCTCACCTTGACATCAATATTATTTTGCTCCCATCCGAATGACCCAAGCATCTCATAATGCCGAGCAGGGGTGCAAATTGTAGCTAAAATTGGAGTAGGCAAAGTAGCAGCCCCTTGTGATAACTGTAATAATCAAACAACATTAGCTTCTATAAGCGTATAAGCAAAGATAGAAAAGTTACTGTGTAGGCTTGATGAGGTGGGTCAATAATATCTCATCCTAGACGGTAAATACACATGGTAAATACATCCTCACCTTGACGTTATCATTATCTTGGTCCCAGTTGAATGGCACAGGCTTGTCATGTAGCAGAGCAGGGGTGGGAACTGCAGTAGCATCCCCTTGTGGCATCTGTAATGATCAAACAACATTAGCTGCTATAAGCCTATTATAAGCAAAGAAAGCAAAGTTCATGTATAGGCTTGACGTGGAACAATAATTTCTCATTCTCTCTGGAAAAAAAAAAATAGTGGAGGACTTGTAGAGTTTAAATAATGCCAAATCAAACTTCAACAACACAGGTCAAAGAATCCACAGACATATTTGACATCATTGATCAGACAACAACTAAAGACACCACAATCATCTACAACCGTGTGATGGCACTCATTTGCATGCATGCCTGGAAAGAAATCACTTTGATCCACAACCAAACCCAAAACCAGGTTCAGGTCATTCATAACTCTACCCATCCCTGGTTATTATGATCGGTAGTTATAAGTTTTGGCCTCTTCTGCTAACAAGAGGAAGTCACAACAACACAACAAAAATTACAAAAGCACTCTGTTTTTCACCACCCAGAAAAGCATTTCTAAATTGTACCCATATCATATTGAACTCCCAAAAACTCAATTCATACAAGATAAAAATGAAAGACACATTTTCTTCCATATCTGTAAACCCTTCTTTGTTGTAGATATAACTACTTCGCATAGCCGGAAAGAATTCACCTTCATTAACCAGGAAAGTGGACAGGGTTGGGGAGTTTTTTCTTATCAAGAATCATATAATACCAAGAAAAAGAGAAATCACCTTCTTTTGAAATTCCAAGAAGCGTGTTTATGCAACTAAGAACGATAACAGCCTCAAATAGGATGTTTTATTTTTGACCCACAATCGAAGAATCCATATCATATTGAACTCAAGAACTCAAGACCCACTTTCTTCAAAACTGTACCCACCCCATTTTCATACACTCGTCAGCTAACAGGAAGTAGCAAAAAATTGCAAAAGCACTCAAGAACAATTTGTAAACCCATATCATTTTGAACTCAAGAACTCAAAGAACTCAATACCCATTTTCTTCCATAACTGTAAACCCCATTTTCATACAATAAACTGGGTACATTATCAAGCAATCATACATATTTTCCGCAAAAACTTTGCGACCCATGCTTAAGATATGTAAGGAGAACAAAATAGTGGCTTGTAAATGAAACAGTACAGATATAGAAATGGGACCTTTTCCAGAGTGCGAATCGCAGAGGAAATGAAGTTGATGATATGGGGTCGTGTAGCAATGCTCTTAAGGTGGTAGAGCTCCACCAAATCTAGCGCCACTTCGTCTGCCATTTTCGTCTTTCTTTCACCCTACGCTCGGTTTCTTTTCCTTCACACTATCTTTGCTAATTGTAAATTTGTAATTGCTCTCAAAAGAAACAGAGCGCCTTTGATGGTTTAGATGGGTTTTTATATTTGGGTTAAGACAAGAAGCCGCATAAATTGCTATAAGCTTAGCGAGGGAAATGAGAGGGGTATATTGGGAATTTACAGTTACAATAAGGTTCTAGATTCGACGTTTCGGTTGCAAATAGTGGGCGCGATGCACGTGAAAGTTTGTTAGAGCTTATTATTTGGGCTTGGTTCTCGGCTGGCTGCTACTCAACAACCAGCCTGTTATTCTCAGATCCCATAGCTCGAAAGCCTATTCTCATTTTTTGTCAATGGAAAAAGTGGGAGTTGAATTTGAGACCTCTTTTAGTACTGAGAACAAAAACGTTACTCGGGTACGAGCTAGTTGCTACCCGAAATCCTATAAAAGCATCTTTTTGGTAAAGTCATAATATGATTTGCGTTGCAAATTATCAGAATTTGTGTATCAATGTACGTCTCTACAATTATTATGTACAATGATGCACTTGCAAGAGTGGCAATACTAGCATTGTCTTATGAGAATCAGATATATGCTAATGTGCACACTATGGTGATCAGGATTTGTAACTTGTGTCTTGTTTGTGTTTGGTTAGAATGGTTTGAAGCTGCTTTTGCAATTGGGCTCTAATTTGGTAATTAGAAGCCAATTTTCTATCAACCTCCTCTTTCATAGCTAAAAGCTCAGACTTTCTCATTTCAGCCGCAGCTATCTCAGAATCACTTGTGCATCTGTCACTGCCTTGGAATTTGACAAAGCTCGATTGAATCTGAGATAAAGACCCAAAAAAAAAAACCATGTTAAAGTTGTAAGAATCTTCATCAATCAAACATCTAAATTGCATCCTTAAAAGCCCTTGAATTTTGAAATTCCCAAATCTTGCTTTGCATATCATTAAAGTTGTGATCTGTAGGGGTTTGATTGGGTTCTTTTTTTACCTCATTGATGCCCTTCTTCAAATCTTGAACTTGCATTTGGCATTCAAAAGCAAACCTCTCCATATTTTCCTTGAACTCCTTCATTTCAGAGCCCTTCAGTTCATAAAACCTGTTCTTCTCCTTCTCCAAGTCCTCAAGCTCCTCCACCTCACTCTTCAAAACCCTAACATTCCATTCCCAATTCCAATATGAGATTAAGTTCTAATTTTATCCTAATTAATCAATTGAGATGAAACTAATACCTCAATTGATGTGAATCGGTTTGATTTTTCTCGTCGAGGCGATCTATCTCCGACCTCAGCGTCCAAATCTTGAAGCTTTGCGATGCGATCTTTTGGTCGAGCGCCAAGCACCTCCGCTCCGTGGCCCTCATGCTTGCGATCCTCAAAACCAACGCCTGAGACTTGTTCTCCTGCACTTCTTTCTCTGCCTGCAAACGAAGCCAGAACTAATCAGATTTTTGCTCCAATTTGGCCGCAGAGAAAGCGTAGGAAATTTGACGAAATAAGCAATTCTAAATTTCTGATTCTTAGAAAAATTGAACAGAATTGAAGGAGATTAGGGTTTGTGCTTGGTACCTGGAGGAGAGAGAGGCGTTGGTTACGAGTATGCTCCATGTGCTCAAGTCGTTCCCGAAACGCAGCGGAGAGCGCCATTGCAATCTGCAGAGGAGAAGGCTCAGAAATTGTGGTTTCTGAACTGTCAACGAAATTTTGAATTTTGAATTATATATAGAGGAGCTTAGAAGAATACGTGCTCTAATGCGATTGGTTAGAAATAGTGGGCTTCCTTTATTTTTATTTTTTTTCGCATTAATGAAGAAAATTAAAAATGCTCTAGCAAACATGATTGGGCTAGTAGTGTAACAACCCAAACCTTAATTATTATTTAACTATTAATTTAATGAAGGAAAAGACTAAACTACCCTCGGAATAATTTATTAGGTTTTAAGTTGACTTTTTGACCGAGAAAGAATTTGGAAAATCCACTTGTACCACTGCGTAGAGCACGACAAAACGAGTCCGTAGACACGTAATGGGCTCAATTCCGAGTCGTATTGAAGATAATACGATCAAATTATGAAAAAGGGCATAATTGAAATTTTGGAAAAAAAGTCAGATTTTAAAAAAAAACCAGACGAGACCAAACTCTTGGGACATGTGTCCTAGGCCTATTGGAACCTCTAGGAACGATCGGATCGGAATTCTGAGGTCGTGGACCCCACGGGGTCCCGAGTTGACTTTTGGGGATTTTATCGCTTTTGAGTCCCTAGGTACTTTTAAATCGTGTCCACTGAGAGGAAAGTGAGTGTGGACATAGGAATGACCTTTAAAGTGATGCACGCATTTTTAGGAGCCGGGGGTCAGGGTTTTTAATTTAATATTATTTTCCTGAGCAGATTTATTAATAAAATATTCATGAGGGTTATTCAGGCACCCCGGCACCAGGTGACCCGCAGGAGGGACCTTCAAAGGGTCCAGCTAGCTCAGAGTATCTGTGAGTGGACTGTTTGTTTTATAAACGTTTTATGCATTTTAATTTCATTATTTGATCTTGAATAAGTTTTACTGAATACAGCTTTCCTAGCATGACTTGATAGATTTAAATATTTCTGTTTATTTATGTGCTGCCTAGTGGAACATTTAAAAAAGGATTTGGAAAGTTAGAACTGAGGTATTATCAGATTAAAAGGCAGCAGGATTTAAGGAATAGTTTTATAAGTAGTTTTATAAACTTTAATCTTTTTCAAGAATTATATATATATATACATTTATTTTAAGCCACCATAGGTACCCAAGGTTGCCTTCAGTATAATAAATGTTGCCTCGGAAATAAAGTTGCCTTCGGAATAAAATTATGTTGCCTTCGGTTATATTGATGTCGACGGACATCCAGTTGCCTTCGGGTAAGTCAGCATGCTAGACACCGCCCCACGATTTTCGGGGACGCCCAAACCGTGGGTGTGAGGAATGCGGATCAGGCCGACCAAGTGTCCCCTGAATTCTGCTAGGATTGCGGCTCGGGTTGACTTTGTGTTTCCCGAGGTCTGCTAGGACGTGTCACTCCGGTGGCATGAGAATGGAATTGACGGATTATAAAGGAATTGACGGAAATTAAAGGAATTGACGGATTACTAAATGGGTACACCTAGGTGGTAGATTTAAAGTGTTTTCAATGTTTTCAAAGACTTAACAATTGATCAAGCATATGATTGATATATATGTATATAAATATGATTACATTGATTTCAGTACAATTATGAATAAAGAAATGTTATAGTTTCTTAACTGTTTTTACAGAGGGGTTAGTATGTTCTTATGCTACTTTCTAAACTTTGTTTTTGGTCCACTCACCTTTTTAATGTTTTGCGCCCCCAGGCAGTAGTCGTGCGTCAGTGCGCCACCACCGGGCCGAGTCCATTTTCCGCCGCCTTCCTTGACAAAGTAGGGTTTTGTTTATTTATTTTTGTACTTGTAACCTACTCTGTATAAATGCTCTGATATTGCCCTAGAACACTTGTCTAACTGTTAGTATGTAAAATCTTTGTATACTGGCAGTTGGTGTATATTTTTATATGCATGTTTGACAGGTGTAATCTTGGGTTTGGTCCATTTCAAGGGAGACTCTGCTGAGTTTTTCGGCAGAAGTCAAACTCCAGTTGTTTTAGAAATTGTTTGACTAGAAGGGCAAGTAGGTCATTTGTGCCCGGCACTTGCCAGGTGTCGGACACGCACAGGGTTCGGCTCGGATTCCAAAGTGGAATTTGGGTCGGGTCCTGTCAAGTAGTACTAGTAACTAGTAATATAAACATTGTTTTGAATACTTCTATTATATACAATATATATATATATATAAAGAAATACTTCTCTTATAGTATGATTTCTCTTGCGTTTACTAATACTTTATTAATTTATTGGTTTATTAATACATTATTAATTCATGGCTTGTTTTGCGTTTACTAATACATTAAAGAAAAAAAATTGTGTAGGTTTCATATTAAATCCATTACGTAATATTCTCACTAGATTGAGTTAAGTACAATTCCCCTATTTCTATGTTTCCCGATTCATGACTTCCTCAAATCTTAACAAGTAAACACGCTCTTAAATTAATTAAATTTTAATATTTTGAATTGTGTATAAGGTATGACTCACTCGCCGTGATTATCGTAATTATTAAATTAGCTCTTTGTTCTGAGTTGCTTTTGTCTAGGGTTTATGTGGATTTTCCAAATAGTTTAAAAAATTTATAATCTTTCAGAATAAGTGCATGGTGCAAGGAGTTAGGTAGCTAGTTTCTATGACTAATATCATTATAGGGAGTGTGTTCCCCTCAATTTGGTGCGAACTTATACTATTTACCAACCGACCTTAATTAGTATATTAATGATGAGGTAAACAATGAGGAGAAATAGCACTTTTGAATCTAATTACTCCAAAAAAAATCTACTTTGAATATAAAACTGTTTTCTTTTTTCTTTTTTGAGAGAATTTAAAACTGTTTAGTCCTTAATTTTCTGCTCACTTTCTTCAAATGCTGACAAGGTTTTTATAATATTGATACAGTTGACACAGAAAGAGCATATTGCACATGAAGAGCTATTGCAGATGGTGAGAGGTTAGTGACTTAGTGAGAAAGAAACAGATAATTATTAAAGAATAATAACAATATTGACTTGCATTGCTAGATAAATAAATATAATATAATATTAATTACCATTTCGAGAAATGGGTCCAAAGTTCCCAGATTCACAATGTAAATATTTTTGCTCACCACTTTAACTCAAGGTGTATGCTCACTACTCTTCTTAATACATGACACGTGTCCATAAGCCTAACCATGGTTAACCTTTTATTTTGATTTATGTTTCCATAGTTATACTTATGGACACGTGTCAAGTGTTGAAAATGATGGCAAGCAAAAATGCTCCCGATCTATAATAGAACAGAATTTGTACTTTTTTAAAAAAAATCTTTAATTCTCCATATTGTTTACTATTAATGTATATCTGACTAAGCAACTGCCGAAAACTGAAAACTTCCCATGTGGAAGAGGACGGTGCCTTTATAAAAGCATCTTCCACAATTATGTACCAATTAAAGGCAACATTAAACAAGTAATTAAGGCCTAATCCATTATGCATGATCCCTAAACATGGCATATGAGGCTAATCAACCTATCATTGTGCCCTTATTAAAATCACAATTATCGACAAATAAACTTCCACAATCGAACAATTCCCTTTGACCCTTGGAAACAAAAGCAGGGGTTTCTTTGCATATATAAATATGAAAGCCATTTTATCGGCACTACCTAGCATTTCATAAGGAGTAAAAGGCATGCAGGTTCACATTATATATGTCATTTGAGTAGGACCTTTCTAGTTACTTTCCTTTTTCTTTTTGAGTAATTACTTTGTGATATATAATGTGTTTTTTTTTACAGAACGATATTCTAACTACTCTAATGTACAAGGAGGAGGATCGCACTCTAGTGTAAAAGGGCGAGCACACTATCTTAATTAATTAGCCTAACCTGTATATACGAGAGAGATATATATACATATCATGTGTTTGCGGGAATTGAATCCCACAAATATATGGAATTTTCCAACTTCAATCAATCATTTTTGGAATATTACAATCATGAATAATAATTCATGATCATCATTCTAATGTGACAAACAAATTATTAATAAAACTAATGTGGGCATACATAATACACAAAAGGGAGTACCATATATTCTGTGTCAGATCATTGTGTCGAAAGAATAATTTTCTAAGAATTATGGTGGTCCAAAGCAGCACGCATCTCTTTTAGCTAATAATCTCTGACATCAAATCTCATTTAAATGTCCAAATAATTTTTAAAAAAGCCATCAAAAATGTGCCCTTTCCAAACCATGCAACGCAATATTGTGGTGAATCAAGGAAAAAGCCTTAAGCAGTGAGATTAACATATATTTAATTTGTTTTTTTTCTTCTTCATATTATATATATAGCTAGCTCTGTGATTGGATTCATATGCGCCCTCACAAAGCTAAAAGGTTAAGGGTATTAAGAAGAAGAAGACAATTAACAAGATAGCATGAAATGACACAAATAAATGTTGACAGATAAGCAAATGATATATGACACATATCAAAATCCTATAAAAACTTGAAAATCGAGGCACATCAAATCATGCCACCTAGCTTAGATTATGGAATATGACACTTACATATATATATTCTTCTGGCTTAAATATAGGTTTATTTTAATTTTAATCTAACTTGTCTTAGCCAAAAAGCCAAAGAAAACGCCGACCTACACCAGTTTTCCGCAGAAGTAGAGTTGTTGTTAATTAATTTCAGTAAAAAGGGTCAAAGAAAACTACATTTTTTTTTCTTTTTTCAAAGAGATATCTCTATCTCAATAAAAATTACATTCGCAAACATGATTTAGTAGAACAGGACCTTAACTTACAGACTAGTAGTCTTAGGTTCGAGCCTTCATGACACCTCGATAGTGTGTGTGAGAAAAAACCTCCATTCTCCTTGTAGTTTAAACTATCGTTTGTATTTAGAAAAAAAAAAATTAATAATAAAAAATGGTTTATTTTTGCCCTTTTGTTTAAAATTCTAAAGAAGATTGATGAGAAATCTTAGTGGGGGGTGTGGGAATTTGTTGGAGAGCATGTGCAGCATGTTGGATGATGTCAATAGGAAGACCATCCCCATCATGTTGAACTAAGGCTGAGCTTACATTGTCTGCCTCTCAGCTCTTATAACAGACAAAGAAAAGCTAGAAGAAGAAAAAAAGCTCCTTTGCATAAAGCCATTGGCAAGGCAATGAACAATGCTGACGGTTTTTATAGGCCAGGGAGGAGAATAAAGTTTGGCCGCCCATTGTCTGCTTCTTCAAGATAATAAAAAGAACCAAACAAGGCCTTTCCCTTTTTTACACTTTAGGATTTCATTATCTCATTTTTATACATGAACTTTGTGCAGCATTTGATCTGAGAGAGAGAGAGAGAGAGAGAGAGAGAGAGGAGAGCCACAGAAATGAATTTAAAGCAAATTTGAGAAATATTATATATGCAGGGAACTGTTATGGATTCCACGTTCCAAAGGAAACAGCTTTTCCTTGCAACCAATAGAAACAGCCATATGAATTCTCTCACTATTTAGTTTCTATTTTTTTTTTCTCTAAGCAACAACATGGTAAAATGTATAATAAAATGACATTGAAATTAAATTGTTTTAACTACTTGATCTTGACGTAGGACTTGTCACAGTAAGAGTAAGCTGCTTCTGCATGATCAATTTCTGGTGTGTAATTCATTCTTCGACATGTCGATTTGAAGGTCATTGCCTAATGAAGTAATCTTGTTTCTGAAGAATAGAGAGTTCATTATCTTTGTACCCATCAAAAAGTAAATATTTACACCAACTCCCATTTGCTTAAAATGGTCTTCTCATATAAACTTGGAAGCTCAGCACACATACAAGCATCCAGTACACCCAGCTTTGATGATATTCCATGGTTGCTGCCTGTTTCACAAAAAATATTCCATTTTATTAGGAATAAAACAAAAGAATTAGGCCACAGTTAATCCAAATTTAGCACTCAATACTTATGAAATTGGTTTTTTTACGCATGCAGTACTTGAGGAACAAAAAATCTGTAATCTATGTTGCACGGACACTCCAATATTTTGGGTATGCAGTGTCCCCGTGTTGTGTCGTGTCATGTATCATGTGGTTGTGCCAGTGCAACATAGAGTGGAATTTAATTATGTAGAAATAGCTCTTGTTGCATTGATATGTGTATTAAGTATATACAAATCTCTATTACACTTTTGCCTTTCTGGCACATTTACACATGTTAAAGGGAAAAGAAATTTGAGGAAGCGAGAAAGAACCTATGATTTTACCTTTGTAGCAGAGGAACTAAAATCAGAGACTGATGAGGTTGTTGTGGATGGAGTTGTGGCTGAAGTAGTTGACACGGAAGACAACCCAACATTATAAGCCATGGTGCCATCAGGGTGAAACAGGCCATAGTTCCTTTCGGAACTCGGCCCCGGCTTCATGTTCTCATTGAACAGAGCAAAGACATATACTTCCAGCCTCAGTTTAGGCCTCAAAGGCGTGCCTTCATTTTGCAGCTGCCTCCTCAACAGATTTCTATTGTAAATTGCAGCATTCTGCAAAGTTGCACCGATTTCATTTTCGTCCCCGTTGGATGGCCAGCCAGTCTCGGAGACCTTAACCTCAATGCCATTGAATCCCAGCCTAGCCATGGCATAAATGGCTGCATCAACTTGAGCATACAACATGTTGTCATAGCGTAGTTTGGTAAAAGGATCAACCATTCCTTGATTGGGATTGAAAAGCACATAGTCCAAAGAGACTCTGTTTGGGTCACCTTTGTATGCAAAATATGGGTAGGCATTGATCCAGAAAGGTGCCTTTGTGGTCTGAAGGAACTGTAACAATTGTGACATGACCCCAGAGACCTCAGTTTTGAAGCTACCGGCCGAAGGCGGATAAGATTCTTGAAGCACAGCCAAAGAACAAGGGGTTGAGAGTT